AAAAAAAAGCAAAACATACAGGAAACAAGAAATGGAAAATTATTTGTTGACAATAACATGTATGTTGATGTGCTTGATAGAGCCAATATACAGTGTACTCTGGATGGAAAATCTCACTTTGTATGCTGTAATGATGTACAGTGAAGAATGAATGTAAATAAATAAATTTAATAAAAAGAAACCCTGTAGCTAACACCAAAAAAAAAAAAAAACTGAGTATCACCAAACAAATAATAACTGAATACATCCCAAATTCTAAATTGACTAATATTAAATTATCACATGGAACCCTTAATAAAAATAGTCCTCAAGGTAAAAGATGATTTTTAATGATTCTAAACATTGTCAGAAAATATATATTTTTCATTATAATCCAAAAAGTACATGTACACACCAGACCTTCAGTCTTCACCTACCCATGGTTACTGTTGACATCCTCCTTTTCTCTTCCCTCATCCTATCCGCTCCTACTTTACCACAGTATTATGAAAAAGGTTAGAAGTGTTTATGGTGCCCTCTAGTGGTACTATTTTCGAAGTGGAAGCCACATTAGAAAAAATGGCAAAACTTCTTATAGACAATCATTATAAAATGACACATTTCTTTAGAGTTTCTGAAGATCGTGCAGAGGAAAGGAAAATGTCTGTGACCACTGAAAAGTTATTGAACTTGAGATGACCTCAGCAACCACATCTGTAAAGTGAAAGTTAAAATATCTCTTTCTCATGGTTGTCTAACGGGTTGAGAAAACATACAAAAAGGTCTTGAAGCACAGTACTCTCTCAATAAAACTATTATTACCTTATTTGACTTTGACAATTCTAAAAAGTTTTGATTTTTGTTTTTCGTTTTGGGTTTTTTTTTTTTTTTTTGGAGGTTTTTGCTATAGGGAGCGTGCGCTCGCCAGACAGACAGAGACAGAGAGACAGAAAGCAAGAAATCACCCCCCAGGAGGGATGGCCATGCCACAATCTCTTCTCCTCCATTCTCCTCTCAGGATCTTGGGCACGCACGCACACGCGCCCAGCGTGAGTTTTAAGCCACCAGGTCCAGGATGTGAACCGCAGTCGACTACATGGGAGTCCAGTAACATAGCCATTACACTAACTGCTGGTCCTGGTTTTGGGTTTGTTTTGTTTTTTTTTTTTTAATGAGGCTCAACAGGGACCAGCAGTTGGTGCAATTCCCATCCTCCCTGAGGGGTGATTCCTCGCTTTCTGTCTGTCTCTCTGACGAGCGCGTGTACCCTCTAGCAAAAATCTCTCTAAAAAACAAAAAAAAAAAAAAAAAAAAAAAAAAAAGAAAGAAAAATGAAGCTTCATATTTTTTTAAAAACTAATTCTGCCAGCATCATGGTAGATGTGTAGATAACTAAGCCCATAATCCAAATTTTCAGACTAATTCTAGGACTCTTCATGATATCTCAGTATTCTGAAGTAACAGTTGATAATGAGGAATCTTGAGAATTTTTTATATCTTAAAAAAAGACTATTTTCGGGAACCAGCAGTTAGCGTAATGGCTATGTCACTGGATTCCCACGTAGTCGACCGCGGTTCGTGTCCCGGACCCGGTGGCTTAAAACTCACGCCGGGCGCATGTGCGTATGTGCCCAAGATCCTGAGAGGAGAATGGGGGAGAAGGGATTGCGGCATGACCATCCCCCCTGGGGGGTGATTTCTCGCTTTCTGTCTCTATGTCTCTGTCTATAGCGAAAATCTCTCAAAAAAAAAAAAAAGACTATTTTCATACATGGATAGTGGTTACCATTAAATCATGCACACACACACACACACACACACACACTATATATATATATTCCATTTATCAGTGGTCACATCTCTAGAATTTTGTCTTTTAAATTGTGGGAAATGGGGAGGGAGGGAAAAGCAGGTGGTGTAGTGGTTAAGGTGCTGCCCTCTCGCTTTCTGTCTCTCCCCTTTCTAGGAGAAAAACCTCAACAACAACAAAAATTGTGTGAAACAAAGCCATAGAGGTACGGCAGTAAGGTTATGCTCCATGATGCTGAAGCCTAAAGGAAAAGTCGCAGGTTTATGTCCTGAGGTCGCCTTGTGCAGAAATCCCAACTAGCTCAGGTCAGAGGCACAGTCACAACATGAAGACCCTGTGGGGAGCTGCCTGGCTCTCCATAATGGAAGAAATAAGTAAATGGACTTTTAAAAATCTGGGGGTTTTTGTTGTTTTTTCTTGGAGAGGTTTTTGCTATAGGACACATGCACCTGCCAGAAAGACAGATAGAGAGACAGAAAGTGAGAATTCACCCCCCAGGGGGGATGGCCACTCCTCAATCCCTTCTCCTCTCAGGATCTTGGGCACACACACACATGCACCCGACATGAGTTTAAGCCTCTGAGTCCGGGACTCAAACCACAGTCTACTACATGGGAGTCTAGCGACATAGCCATTGCACCAACTGCTGGTCCCTTAAAAATCTGTTTTAATTGCAAGAAACGCATAAAGATTTATGTCCAAAATATGTTCACAAACTCCTAATTAAAATAGTACAATATTGAAAACAAATCATTTTAAAATAAACTTTGGTAAAATCATGATACTTATTTTTTATTTATCGAACAATTCCTAGGTGCCAGATATTGTTGTATGGGTTACATTGTTTAAAAGGTAAACTGAGGCATAACGTGACCTTTTTAAAAAAAAAAAAAAAGAGTTTATTTGAACAAACAACAATTCATAAATCAGGCAGCCTAAACCAGAAGTGGGTCAAGAGCTCCACCAAAGGAATGCAAGGGGAAGACTTATAGGACAGACACAGAAATAAAGCAAAAGAGACATTTGATTGGTTACAATTACACACACACCTATTTGATCTATGCTGTTGGAAAGTCCCCAGTTACGTAATTCTAAGTTTGTTGGTTACTTCTGACTGTTTGAACTTAAGTGCTCTCATTATCTAACATGGGAATTTATAAGAAATAACTCAAGTTTTGTTCAAGCCAAGTTTGAGGTCACTTATGAGACCTAGCTGGTTTTGTCTGCTTGGGGATTCCTTAGACCAGGACTGCATTTTAATTTATCTCAACAGTATTACTACTCAATGAGGTAGGTACCATTATCTCCATTTAACACCCATGGAAGCTAAGGAACAGAGAGAGTACATAACTTGTCAAACATTAAGGAAGTAGGAGAGTCCAGAATTTCACTGAGATGTCTTTCTCAGTCCGTGCCCTATTCACTAGCTGATCTGCTTTCGACACAGTACGGTCCGTGGATCCACCCACACTATTTCATTATGCAGCAGCACCTATATGATAGATTTTGTTTAGCCATAAAAAATTGTGCTTCAGTGCGTATACTAAAATTTTGAGGGGAAAAGTTTGCAAACCTACATTGTTATTATTTCAACTATGGAGTGTGTGTGGGTGTGTAAAATCAAAACTTAAATCTAAATATTGGTTTCCTCCAGATGACATATTATGGATAATTTAGTTTCTCCTTCAAGCTTTTATAGACATTCTGAACTTCTGGGAATGAGACAAGACAGGTACCATCATCAGAAAATTCAGATTAAAAATATTTAGAGTGCCAGGACCAGCAGATGGCATAATATTATGTCACTGCACTCCCATGTAGTCGACCACTGTTCAAGTCCCAGACCAAGTGGCTTAAAACTCATACTGGGCACAGGGAACCAGCAGTTAGCATAATGGCTGTGTCCCTGGACTCCCATGTAGTTGACCACGGTTCATATCCTGGACCAGGTAGCTTAAAACTCACGCCGGGCGCGTGTGCGTGCGTGCCCAAGATCCCGAGAGGAGAATGGAGGAGAAGGGATTGCGGCGTGACCATCCCACCTGGGGCGTGATTTCTCGCTTTCTGTCTCTATGTCTCTCTCTGTCTCTCTGGCGAGCACACGCACCCTATAGCGAAAACCTCTCCAAAAAAAAAAAAAA